TATCTTCAGTTTGATAGCCATCTTCCAGACTTTTGCCAACCCTAAATTTAGTTCCCAATGCTTCTGAATATCCAAAATCTGTGCAACTATAAAACAGATGGTGTTCTGATTTTCTTACATCATTTGCTTTCTCCCCGATTTGGACAATTGTTAGTTACATAATTATACTTGTTCCATTTCAAATGATATAAAAAAGTACAGTGATGCTGTTTGGCGACATTAGATGTTGACTTCTGGAGAATTATAGTTTCAAAATTAGCTACTCTCACAAGGTTGGCTTCCCAGTGTATGGTAAGACATGAGCTCTCTAAAGTGTGATAGTTTTAAAATTTTTTAAATCCAGACTCTTATTGCAAATATTCTGAAAAATCAGAAATATTACATGAGCTTTGAAAATAAAAACCAAGGCATTTAGCAAGTTTTAGCTTAGCTAGAGTAAAGAACACCGACATTTTTTTTTTAAAAAGAAATACAATTTACCTTTGCAGCAATTTAAAGGTCCAATCCTTTGAAAGGAAGCACATTAGCAAACAGCTGCTTATTAATCCCTAGTAACATTAATTGTATGCTTTTCTATAACACCATCCTAAATCACTGTCTTATTCTGGTAGCAGGCAATGCTTTCTTCCAAAAGATTCTCCTTCCATGGAATGATAAAATGCTGAGGCTTTTTTTTTCTTTTCTTTTCTTTTTGTACAGAGCCTGTATTTAGTGCAATAAGTGTAAAAAATCTGCTCTGAAATATTTACTTTACATTAACAAAAATAGCTTTTTTTAAAAAAATCAGTAACAAAAAGGAGTTATCGCATAAACAGATCATGAATTATTCTTAGCAAATTACACTTTTTTTTTCTTAAAGCATTCACCATTACAATAAGCAGAACAATGGAATATTAGCCATTCATATCTGGTAAGCGGCAGGAATTAAAAAAAAAACAAACCAACACCAAAAAACAGAAAACAAACAAAAAAACCCAAATACCACAAAAACCTACACCCATCCTCAAACAAAAAGAATGCTCTACACTTGAGGATCAAAACATTAACCAATTCTTCAGCTAAGCGTTGTAGAATTCTGGATGCTCAATGATTATGTTCAAGGAGAGGAGTTCATGCCAGAGTGTTTTCAGACCTGACAGCAAGTATTTCAATACAATGGCCTTGAGCCCCAAGCCACTTAAGTTCCTCTGAAGCAGACCAAGCACCAGAATTTTCAATGCTATGTGCTCCAGGTTCCTCTCCCTTTTTTAATTCCTCCCAGCATTACTTAATCTGCAAATCAATACACATGAACTTAAACACTAAACTTGCTGGGTACCCCAGCTTCCTTTCAAATCAGGCACACAATTGTGTGAAGGATGCTACCAAAGTAAAAAAAAATAAAAAAATGAAAGACAAAATAGAAGAAAACAGTTTGCATAAGAAAGATTATCTACCCTTTTCTTTTTACCTACTTTCTTTTATAGAAGCATTAGGGTAAACTACAAATACCTGAGGAGTTGGTTATTTTTAATGTTCGCTGACAAATGTTAGAACCTATTATGAAAATTCCCATATTGGGCCCACTTGCATGTTTCTAAAAAGTAAAATGACATGGCTTCTTTGATTGGGGAAAAGAAATTGGAGTAATTCCTTATTTTTCTGAACGCATGTGCCTAGTCTTCTCCCACTAGGACGTATGCGTCAGTCAAATAAGATCTTGATTTTTTTATACACACATCAGGGAATCACCCTGAAAACTTTTAGACAAAGAATTTGGTAGTTTTATCTAATTCAAATAACTAATGTTAAAATCTCCTCTAAGTTATTAAAAATGTTAATCAGATATGAATCTTAACATTTCCATTAAGACAATTACAATTGAAAACGTTAAATGACGGAAGTTGCCTTGTAAAAGCCACCCGTATGAAAGGAGTACATGTTTGACAAAAATAAGCATAAAAAAGGTATTAAATCCCTGTTCCTTTTCTCTGATTTTGGCTGATTATGTGTGTGTGTATATACATATAAACACATATACATATATACACACACCCGCACACACAAATACATAGTTGTGTTTATATATTGTTTTGGAATGTCAATGGGTTCCATAACGGTCGGCTAGGTTCAAGCAGAACTTGCTCCCGAAGCCTAGAAAACAAAGTCATACAAAGTATAATCTTAGACAATTACCAGTAAAAAAAGAGAGCATGAATGATGTTACAAATACATACATGGTCACAAACAGCAACAGGGAAAAATGGATTGTGAAATCTTCTCTCCTGAACCTGTATTACAGGGTGAAATTCTTTTTCATGCCAAAACATCACAAGTCCTTCTAAATAATTTCTGACATATTCAGATGCCCAGGTTCCTTGAATGCTCTATTCCTCCCCCCTATTTTCAAAGTTTTCTTAACTAGTGACGTACACATACTCTCTCTCTTTAAAAAAAAAAATTCTCCAAGAGGAAAACCAAGTTATTATATTTAGTTCAATGAGCAGTTTAACACTTCATTTACCTGAATGTTATTTTATAGACTAAAAATAAACCCTATGTTGGAAGTTATCTCATTAGAAGGAAAATATACAGTAAACTTTTAAACAGTAATGTTTCTAGAGATACTGCAAAATTCATGTGATGCTCTCTCTCAGGGCTTTGATCTAAGGGAATAATACGTGAATGAAACCAAGCAAATAGAAATAAGCAGTTTTAAATTCTATCAACCCTCAAATGTTAGGAAGAATTTGTCAGGTAATTCTGTGGAGATGTTTAAAAATGGTGTTAGATGGAGAGGTCGACTCTAACCATGCAAAGTGCAAAAGGAGGATAAGAATTAGAGGTACTGATTAACTTGAAAAAAAAAGCCAAAATGAAAGCTACTCTGAGTAACATTTCACACTTCTTTTCTGGAGAATTTTTTTAACCATTTAAAACAAACATCATTTTAAGACAAATACTGTAATTCCAAAGTTCTAAAAGAACAAAGCACACAAAAGATGTATCATGAAACAGGATAGTGGTTTTACATTATCCATCTGCAAGCAACAATCAGATGAGCAACATAAAATAAACAGCAAAATAGAATGAATATTTCTGAGGCATTGTTTGAAGCATTAATTTAAAATGGAAAATAATATTAGGGAAGTTTTCTTTTCTGCTCTTATGGTAGTATATCATATTATCTGAGTTGTTCTCCTAATATTATTTCTAAATTAAGAGCTTAGATAGGAAAAGGTGTGTTTGCATCATCTACCATTCATTCAAGAGTAATGCGGAAACATCTGGTAAATTCTTAATCAAATCAGCTAGACCTAAACCTTCAAATATCTTGAAATGCTTATTATGGAAGAGTGATTTAAAGGAAATATCAATCATAGAAAAGACAGAACAGTGGGAGAGGGCAGAGGAGTTATACTAAGGGACATGTTTATGATTTAAGATTTTTATGTTCTTTTAAGTTTTAGGCTTGGAACCTTTATATCCCCGAACAATTAGGCTCGCCCATCACGTGAGAAGGAGGAATCCTCCTCATGTCTCCATATTGTCAGAGTCCCCACTCCTAACCTCTTCAGCAGATGCAGAATAATAGCAGAGATAGAGAAAGCAGGCAGCAAGGGAGGGAACCTAATTGGAGTGATTTGCCAATTATCTCCCTTCCCCTCTCTCAATCTAGTTCTTAGTGATGCACATTTAAAGCTAAGGTCTGTGAACATTCTGCACCCTCTCACTTCGAATCAGAGTGACTTCTAAATGAGTATCACTCGGGAAAATGAAACGTTGGATTTCAGCCTTGCAATACTTTTAAGAACACTACCAACACAAGTATGAGGGGAGGGGGGAGGTTATAAAGGAAAAAGTTTACATCTAAACACTTTGTTAAGGCTTTATTGGAATATGGAATTCCTTTGCACAGACACATGACTATTACTGCCCCAACAAATAAATGAACTTACTTCCTTTACTCTTACATACTTAAGAGGGCTTGTGTTACATCATATATTACACATTAAAAACCCAACCACTGAAGTGTTAAGGAAGAAAGAGGGGAGAGATTTCACATTTCTAGACATTTTACACATTTAGATGGCAGGCTGTTTAAAATGAACTGTTTAAGGACTCAGGTAATTATGTATTTTGAAGTAAGCACATGACTTAAGAAAGACATTTTGTAGAGATTTGTAGTAATCAGGCCAATAATGTCAGAATATCTTTGGGAAAAGCAACTCAGGATTCTCTTGTACTAATTAACTTCAGGTTGCTTTTTCAAATAAAAACTGGTTATGGGCCTTTTGTTCATAGGATCGCTATGAGTTGTGCTCGACTCAGCAATCAACAACAAGAAGTTATATATCAGAGATGACTTATCTATCTCACAATTAAACAGGGGTGGAATTAGACAAAGTAGCCCTATTGAGTAGGAAGTTAGGCATTGATGCAAATTACCTTGTTTGCTATTGCAAAGAGTTTTCGAAACAAAGGAAGTACAGTCCAAGCAACAGAGAAGGAAGTCAACAAAGAAAATCAGCAACATAATCAGAACAGTATTTTAAAAAAATGGGAAAAAATATGAATTTTAGCAAGTTGAAAGGAACTGCTTTATTGTCTTCTAAAATACTAATAATATGAATAATAAAAAAAATTAAACGATCAAGTTCAAATACACACCCCAAATGCTCAATCTGATGAAAACTAAACACTAATGTTTAAAAAATGAAAAGTTAAAAAAAAGAAGAGGAAGAGCAATTTCGCCTCAGGGCAAGAGTACCCTGCCCACCTCAACTTTTACACCAAGGAAGATGTTCCTTTCAGCTTACTTTTACAGAAGATGGTTTCATTTGTGACAAGAATTCTGCCATCCACGTGACAGGCAGGCACACAAACAGAAAGAGCAGCACGTCCTGCGTGACACAGAGAACAAAAGCTTCTCCTGAAGAAGTGCAGTCAGTGAAGACAGAGACAGAGAGGAAGTGAAAGTGAAATTCTTGGAGGGTGGTCACCTCCTCATGTCCACCTACCATCGGTTTTAGTTCTCTGGCATCAGCAGCGCCTCCCTTACCAGCTTCTTTCATTGCTTTCCTACTGTTTTCCACAAACTCCTGCAAAACAGGAACCAGACTGCATAAATTTTTGTGTCCTTACAGATATCAGTTGGTAGATGAATTCGTAAAGGACATTTATGTCTGGGACTCAATCTTTATAAAGAATAGTCTAAAAACACAATAATAAGGTATCACGCACAAGAGCTGCTAAATTTGAGGATAGTTTACAAATCATTGATGTAAAATTTCTTTTCCCATCTATTCATTCTAACAATCTTAACAAGGCTCAAAGAGATAATCTTACCAAGGCTCAAAGAGATAATGTTAGCTCCATTTAGAAGAGAAACTACCTAGTATTCTTTGAAAAGACTACTTTCCCCATACATAGTATTATTGTTTTGTTTCCCTCCTATGAAGGATTAAGGAAACGAGAACCTTCTATTTCATAAAGAAGACTTAAAAATAACCCTAGAAGGCAAAATAATACATTGATATTACTAAGCACAGAAGAGTCTTTATCTATTTTTGTTTTAGCAAACCATAAATATGCTACTTAAAAAAACAACAACAACCCAAACTGTTTATCTAGCTTAGACATTATTCTACAGAAGAGGAAGACAGGGAGTGTCAACCAGAACCTGTGGTCAGAAGGAAGAAACACCTTTATGTTGTCAAAGTTTAGGAGCAATTCTTCTATATATCTTTATCATTCTTATAGAAAAATCCAGGAGGGGGAATAACTGTACTGTTTACCCTGTTTTTAATCAATTTAACAACAAAAACAGACTCTTTTAAATGTCTTAATCACAGAGCAATGTAATGGTCATAGGTCAAATTCTGGTATGACAAGAACCAGCCAAAACTTTAATTTCTATATTAATAAAATACACAAAATTTATTTGATAGAAATTTTAGTTTAAGTTTTAGTTTTAAGTTTTAGTTTAACCAAATAGATTGGTTAAATAATTTTAAACTTTTTATATTAAAAAATTTTGTTTATTTATGAAAACATTATTTTAGGCTCAACTGAGTAAAATATACTCTTAGAAGATGATTGGTTATTTCAATATATATTGTTTATACCTCAGTATTACCTATTCTGGAGATAGAAATACTTTGAAGTTCAATTGCAAAGACTATGATTAAAATGCATCTTTAATTTTCTAGCATTGGCTGATGATCATTTTTTAATTACTTTGTTGTGGCATATCATTGGGAGGAGACTGTCCAACCTTCTTCCACAGAGCAGCTGGTAGACTTGAACCACGTGCCTTCAGGATTGCAGCACAGCTTTTTGCCACTAGACCACCAGAGACCCCAACTTTGGTATGTTTTTTAAATTTTTATTTGAGCTAGTATTAAAGAGGAGTTATAAGGGCTGTATTACCGCAAAGAATCTGAATATGATCTACGTATATATATTCAGGTCTCAACTAGTGAAAAAGAACATAATCTACAAGCCCTGACTCTATTGTTTGTATTGAAGAAACACCTCTACTTTAGCCTGACATGTTTGAGAAGATGGGTTTAACTAGGGGTGGCAGCCATATAATTTGGAAAAGTCTAAATATTGATAGGCCCTAGAATCTGGGAGATAAATATTTTTTTTGTCTTGGAGCTTCATTTCAGGAATATCATTGGTCTCATGTTCTAGTTGAAGGGCGAGGGGAAAAACCAACAACAAAATAAACCTCAAACTCACTGTGGTCAAGTTGGAACTGACTCATAGCAGATCCCCTATTGGGTCTCTGAGACTGTAAATTTTGCCAGAGAAGACTCTGCTTATCTTTCTCCCTCTAAGCTGCTAGTGGATTCGATCTTCCAGAGAGGCATGGCCTTTGGATTAACAGCACAACTTCCTACAGACTATGCCCCAGAACACCTCACAGCGCTAGAAGGCAGGATTAAAAAGTCAACTCCAATTTAACTGCAGAGACAGTAATTAGTATGAACTCAAGTCTGGTAATGGGTAATGCTCCAGATTAGCTGATTTCAAGGGATTTTTGTACATGTGAAGAGACTCCTGATTTTTGGCCTAGTGACAAGGAGCTGCAATGCTAATCCAAAAGCACACGGTTTGAATCTACCAGCTGCTCTGCGGGGGAAAGATGGGTACTCCCTTCCCGTATGATGTACAGCCTTTAAAATCTTGTTTGAGGGTCAGCTATGGGTCGGTTCTGATTCGGAAATAAATAACATCATTCATAAATGTTCAGAACGATAATCCCAAATCTTTCTGAGGTGTGCATAACAGAAGTTTAAGAAAAGGAATGCTCTACTAAATATTTTTATCCCCCAAATGGTAGAGAGCATCTGAAGTCCTTACCATCAGCACTTTGTCCATGTAGAATTCTCTGCCAGGGCTCCCATCATTGTATTTTGTATCAATGGCGAAACACAAGAATAACACATCCACCACCATTTCATAAATGGACAGGAAGCAATGAGCGACCAGGAAAGCGAAGAGGCAGACGATGATCAGAGGCAGCACCCAGACTGTGTAATCTTGCTGGTAGTTGAGCAGCATGATCCCAGCCAGACCAGTGCTGCAGACTATCAGCACCTGAGGGGAAGAGAAGGAAGCGCTCACTTAATATTCCACCTGAGAACACCGGGGCTCCGGTACCATTGCCAGCCTTCAAATTCTCATTCGTCTTTTATCAGCTGATGGCTGCACAAGGCCATTACCTCCCAATTTAGGAAGTATGATCTATTACAAACACATATACACTCATGTACACAGAGTTACGCAGCTTTATAATATAAATTAAAAAAATTATACTTTGAAAATATTGTTTTCCATTAAATATAATCATTATTATGCCTCATACAACTTCAACTTAGTCTGTGGCAATTTTTTAAGGTTAATGAATGCACATTTACCTGCATGAAACATTAACCATATTCTTAGCACCCGGAAGAAAATTTACATTTCAGGTTATTTCTATGAATTTTCCTATCGTTTTCACACATGTAAAACAGGATTATATAAAGAAATCATTAAATACCCATTCATTAATATGTATAGTATCATATAAAATGCCACATACACAGCAGCATAATCTCATTTTGTGGGTGATGTATAATTTTTTTAACTATACTCATACTGTTGGAGAATTATATTAAGATATAAGTAATGCTGTAACAAACATCTCTATCTGTAAAACCTTTTGTTTCATGTTATTTCAGAAAATATGCAGGGTATTTTATACGATTTCCTATAAATTCTAGGTTTGAATTTTGAAAAAGAGGTTGCCAAAAAAATCTGTGCTATATAAAGCAAGTAAGTACTCAATCTGCTTTTTCTAGAACCACCTACCTTGATGCTTGAGCATCTCATATACAACACTTGAAATTTTCAGTTTCTTTCTTTTTTTTTTTTTTTAATTTTTTTGTGTGCGTGTACCGTCAAATCAGATCTGACTGGTACAGGAGGAGATTATCCCTCCTTTCCCGGAAGAGCATCTGGTGGATTCGAACCGTGCGCCTCTGGGATTGTAGTTGCAGCTCCTTGCCACTAGGTCACCAGAGCTCCCCTTCACTGCTTCTTTCAATACGCTATATTTCAGGCTATGAACGATGCATGGCAAACGTTAGTATCCCCACTTGATATTGTTGTTGTTGTTAGGTCCAGTTGAGTTGCTTACTACTCACAGTGACCCCAGACCCAGCAGGACAGAGCCCTGTGTGGTCTGCACCTTCCTCACCGCCACTTCCACGCTGGAGCCCACTGCTGCAGCTGGTCATCAGAGCCATCCTTGTTGAGTGTTCTCTTCTTCATCATGACCTCTACTTTCACATGCCTGTGAGGCAACTGAAAACACCACTGCTTGGGCCAGGCACATCTCAGTCCTCAAAGTAACATTTTGCTTTTCAACTCTTTCAAAAGGTCCTTTTGCAGCAGATTTGACTCTGCCATGTATCATGTGACTTCTTGACTGTTACTCCCTTAGACACTGACTGCAGAAGTAACATAAAATCCTTCACAACCTCAATCTCCTCTCTATTCACCATTTATTACTGGTCTGGTTGTGGGGAATTCTATTTTCTTTATGAGAGGTATAAACCATACTGAAGGCTGCAGTCTTTGATCTTCTTTGTGTACTGCAAATCCTTTTCACTTTCAGCAAGCACGGTGTCACATACATGTTTGTTATGAGTCTTCCTCCAATCCTGTTGCCACATTCTTCCTCATATAGTGCAGTGTCTTAGCTCAGTATGTAGACTAGAGTAAGTGTAGGGAAAGGACACAATCCCAACGCACACTTTTCCTGATGGCAAGCAACACAGTATCCCCATGTTATGTTTGAATATTGCCCTCTTGGTCTGTGTATGGCTTTTACAGGAGCACAATTAAGTGTTCTGGAATTCCTATTCTTCACAATATGATGGATTGGAAAAATGCTTAGAGGTGACAGCAGATTCGTCTAAGGTCACAGAGGAAATGAACAGCAGATACCACCCACTCAGTAACGGTTTTAGGTTGTTAACCCCACTATCTTTCCAGGCAAAAGCTCTTCCAACAGTGACTGATACACAGCAGTGATGAGTTATATATGGAATCCAAGACATATTTTGGCTCAATCTTAACTGGCTTCCTTCCAGCTTTGTATAATAGTCATCTAGAACAACAATATTCTCTCAGCCAGTGCTGAGGACAGACTGAGAGTTCTTTGTTTCTCAATGTTTATAGCACCAGTACAGTTTCTATTCACCATTATCTGAAACTGATGCTATAAAATATTCAATGATAAACTGAGTAACCTATGAAGTGATATCTTTGAAGCTTTTAAGAGGAACTTTTAGTCTACTATAACTTTGTAAGACAGACACCTTAATTTTTGTAGTAACATTTATAAATCATCTCTTTTAGTAACATTCTGGGATGATTTAAAAAAAAAATTACTAATTGTCTTCATTTTATTTTACTTTGATGATTCCAATATGAAAATTGGTTATTTCTTATCTCTCCTTCAAATTCTGTATATCTACCTTAATATTGGCCTGAGGCTCTTTATATTATCAGCACTGTCTCTAAGTCAAACTACTTTGAAGTACCCATGGCAATTATGCAAAGAAGGTGTGACTCCAACAAATTAAACCCTGAGACAACAAAGACAGTGCAATGGACAGTGCGAAATTATGTCACATGAGAAACAATTTTAAGAATTAGTGAAGTAAAACCAAGAAAGTAAAACCTCCTCAGGACTCCCTAACATAATGAAAGGCTTTATAGAGATGATCCATAGAAAAGGCCAGGAAACCCTTGGGAAGTTGAGGAACAATACAGATTCCTGGACCTTAGCCCTAGAGAATCTGACTTAGTTGGTGTGGGATGAATCCTAGATATATACATTTTACGAAAACCCCAAGTGATTATGACAAAGTCTCAAGAAACCTTACTCTATCTTCAGGTGTCCACGGTTATCTCTACAATTTGTTTATGGGGAACAAAAAAAGTGCTGCTTTTATTTAAAAACACTTCAGAATATACTTCCTAAAACCATAAGGCACTCTCTTCATAATCATAGTATGGGAATCAAAATCAGGTACTGTATCACTGACACAGCACTATTATCTAGTACACAGTTCATTATCTGATTTTGTCAATTGCTCCAATAACATCCCGTGTAGCTATTTTTTGCCTCAATCCAGCATCTAATCCAAGATCACATAGTGCTCTCAGTGATCATGCTTCTCTATTTGTCTTCAATGTGCAAGAGTCCTTCAGCCCTTCTTTATCATCTCTACAGTTTTATTCCTAGTTCTTTTAGAATCACAGTGCCTAAAAACCTCTTCATTTCAAGTGACTCAGTGCCACTATGTCTCTCTTTTTTCTTTCCAAAAACATTTTAAAAATATTGTGGCTTAAAGACGTCTAAGTGTTCAAACCTAAGAAAATGTCCACATATACCACCCACCCATCATGATAAATAAGTATTTATAAAACCTATCAAAGCAATATGAAAAACGTGTGTGACATAATGTGAAGTCTTACAAAGGGCAAGACAAGTAAGTATTATGTTCTGTGCTATGACTGACTGCTAAGAGAACAAACACATCTGTATCGGAGAGGGTGAGACAATATTCTTCCTTGGAGGCTAGAATTTTGAAGCTCCGTCTCACATACTTTGGGCATATGGTCAGGAGGGACCGGTCCCGGTCCTTGGAGAAGGACATCATGCTTGGAAGGATGGAGGGACAGTGCAGGAGAGGAAGACCCAAGATGAGATGGACTCACACAGTTACTGGGGTAATGGGGTAGGCTTGCTACTATACTTATTCCAATTTTATGAGTCAAATTGAGGCACAGACTGGTTATGCAGACTGTCCCGTTGAAGGTAATATTTTTACAGATATAGTACATCTAACCACTATATACTATATGAAGGAACATGATGCTTGGAAAGGTAGAGGGTCGATGAAGGAGAAGAGCCTTGACCAGGTGGACTGATGTGGTGACTGCTACAATGGGCTCTAATGTGTGAGGAAGTGTGAGAATAACACAAGGTAAGGCAGAGTTCAGATCTGTTGTTCACTGGGTCACTATGAGTCGTACTTGACAGCACCTAACGACAATGACCACCACTATATGGACTATACCTTAACTCTACAATTCAAAATGCATGTGAAGAAATGTGAAAAAGACTACCACATTGGGAAAATTACATAATCTCTGTGCCTCAGATTCCTTATTTGTAAAATGAGGATAATAATACAAGTCACAAATTTGTTGTGAGGACTCAACGTGCACAATGCATGTAAAGCACTCTAAACAGTGCTAGAAACAATAAAGTGGCCTCACTGGTGCCGGTTGTGCTGTCAACCCAAATGCAGGCAGTTGGAATCCACCAGCAGCTCCGTAGGAAAAAGTCGAGCAATCTCCTCCCATGAGATTCATGGCCTATGAAAACCTGCTGCAGGCTCAGCTCTGAGTTGGTTTCGATCTATGAATATTAATTTAGTTAACATGTATATGCAAAATATTGACTTTGTGTCTCAGAAAACATACTTGATCTTACCTTGCCTAGGAAGAGCATAAAATCCCCCACTGTGTTGATGGCAGCCACTCGCAAAGCATTCTCCACCAGAATGACAAAAGCATCCTTTGCTGAGGTGCAGAAGTTGGTGCTGTTGATAGCTGTGGCTGTGTATGCATTCTGTGTGAAAATAAAAGCAATCACTCTCATCAAAAAACCATCTTGTTTGGTCGAGATACAAATCAACCGTAATAAAAGCATGACTTTTAAAAAGATTTCATAGTTAAATTTTTAACTTTGATGAGGTACAAACTAAGAACGAGTACAGAGTACAGAGAAATATGAGCTATTTAAAAACAAAATGGAAAAATCTGGTAAGTAAAAGGTGCTTTCTAATTGGTGTAGTTTTGATGTTTGAAATACACTGATACTTATAAACACACACAGGCACACACACACCCTTTCTACTATCCAAGAACTTCTTCCATGTGTTAGTGCATCAAGTATCATTTAACCTTTCCTTAACTTCATCACTGTGAATATCTGTGAGACATCACAACCAGTTCAGTGACCTTTTAAAGTTGCAGATATACATATGAGATGCCTACTTTTAACAATAAATGCCATCAAATTACTGGGCTGTTTTATCTGTGACCCACAATCTCTTCCCTGGTGGCTTTCTCTTACACTGTCACTTCTCACAATTTTTACAGTACATAGCTGTTTTCTGGCCAGTATTTTGTAATGGCTCTTTTCTGATACCAGAACCTCAAATCTTCTGGTTTTCCCTGAAAACTGGAAGAACTAGAAACTATATGTAAATTCATGGGCTCTGGTGGCCAAGGTGTAGGAAACTGCACTGCAAGCTGAAAGGCACATAGTTCAAATCCATCCTCCTCAGAAGAAGGATAGGCAATCTTCTCCTGTGCAATTAACTGCCTCTGAAAACTTGCTGGAGGGTCAGCTAAGGGTCCGTTCTGACTCCACAGTACACAACAGCATATGTAAATGCTCACATGGCACAGTATACTATAGATAGTGACCACCCTCTTTGATCACAATTTAGAAATAACCTTAGATGAGAGATAACTCTCCAATTTATCACAGTCTTCACCACTCCCTATTGCCTGAGATCTTGCTCGCTTCACTCATTTATTTCCACTACATCAGGCTTTTGACTTCAAGTTTCATGCTGTTCTCAGGAGGGACAACAAAAAAGGATAGCAAGAAAATAATACAAAATGAAATGAATGCATAGTTAACTCCTCTCCAAAGAGTCTTAGACAAAACAGAACCTTAAATAGGAGAAGCTGTTGTTGCTGAGTACTGCTGAGTCAGAACTAACTCATAACTGACCCTCCAGGGAGTTTTCAGAGGCAATAAATGGCACAGGAGGTATGCCCATCCTTCTGTGGAGCAGCCAGTGTTACTTTTGTGTTCGCAATGCAATTCCTTACCACTAAGCTACCAAGAGCTCCCTAAACAGGAGATACTGCATGTAAAATGTGAGGCATATTGTGTTAAATGAATGTGAGCATTTATTATTAGTCTTTTCATTTCTTGACTTTATAAAGATGGGAGGGAAAGAAAAGGATGTAGAGAAGAAAAATTTTAATAAGAAAAATAAGAAAGATATCCTAAGATATTTGATATATATGGTAAAACCATAACAATTAAATACTGTCGCACTTATCTAGATCAATGATATTGAAAAGAAAGCCCTGAATCTCAAGCATGATACAGGAGAATTTAGCAAGTTGACATTTCACAACAGGAGAAAGGATGGTAATTCACTAAATAGTTCTGGGACAAAATGAGTAAATTCCATGCAATTGGAAGAATTAAGCATTGAAAAGTAAACTCCTAAAAGTTTCAGTATTTGAAAAGTAAGCTTCTAAACTTTACACCCAAACAGAGCATAATAATCTTGTTAAGAATGCATCTTTTTCATGAAAATTCCTATCTACTTTCGAACGGTAGGCAGAAAACCCCAGGAGGGCTAACTGCACTATCCCAATATGATGGCTGTCAGTCTTTGGAGATCCTGCAGTAAATGAGAAGTGGAACTCTACTCCTCAGTCAGATGTAAATGGTCAGAAAGTAAATTTTTATCTTTGATCTCTTAGATAAGGACATCAACACATTAAGATTGATTTTTCAGGAAAGAAGAAGGGTAATAAGAAAATGCAGCCGGGAAGCTCTGATACTGAAGGGCAGAGTACTTAAACCCCTATCGCTGCCCTCAAACCATTCTTTCAGTAAACATCAGTTCCTCTATTCAACTTCACAAAGCATTTACTATGAAAATATTTTCCATCATTTCCTCTTTCCCTACTCCAGTCCACTTTGCTATGCATGTCTTATTCTGGACTGTCGTCATGTACATAATGCCTAATCATATATTCCTTTTAAGCAGTTCCTTTGAATGAACATGTTTTTTTTTTAAAAAAAAGCGAAATGGGGGTTGAGTAGAGAGGAAAATGTGCAACAAGGAATGAATGGAAATCCAAGTTATCTGTAAGCTTTCATTAAAATCACAATTAAAAAAATTTAATAAAAAGAAAACATTTCCCATACAAATGCCAGTTAAGCAAGCAAACAAAAACCAATCACCATGAAGTGTAAACTAGCTTTGGAACATGATGGAGAGTTGCCAAAAAGGTATCTGTCACTACCTCTTTTCACTAATATAAAGCTTTCAAATCACATAGAAAGCATTAAAGAATGAAGACTGGAATGGACTGTTTTTTAGGAAAATCTGAAAACAAAAAGGTATGCATTAAAGAGTAAAAGGAGTTAAGTGTCTTTTTTGCAAGAGGAATTCCAATATTTTTAAAATTCATTATTAAAATCCTAATATTTGTTAATGTATGCATGAAAATGAAGATTAACAAAATGATGGGCTTTGGTAAGCACATATTTTAATTTTAAAGTAGTAAGAACTTGGTTGAAATATATAGATTTGATCAAGATACAGTATATATTATTAAAGAAAATAATAATTTGCTTTCTGTTAGAAACAATGATCTTCAAAAGTCAATGGTTAAAAAAATTTAAGAAGATAGTCAATGGTAGATATGTTTTTCTCAATAGTTTACCTGATTTAGATAATTTAGGCACTTTTCAAGACACCAAAGGCAACAAATGCAAGATTTCAGCATGCATCGAGCACAGGCATTTTCCTAGAAAGGAAACAGGATTAGATTTAAAACCAACAAATCATTCTGATCTCTAAACATTAAAAAGAAAGAAAAAAATTTTTTAAAAAACAACATACAATCTGTCCTTCAAAGCCTCCATCCCATCCCTTTTCTCCTCAAAATGTAAAGGCTGAATTGCTTTCAATCAGTTCAATTTAACATTTAATTAGTAACTACTGCAAATATGAGAACAGTGAAGGATATTAAGACCGTTAAGGAACTTATGATCAGGTTGGAGAAACAACATACTCAACATCTAAAAAGTCAGAATCAGAACAAGACACAGATAATAAGCCGTAAGACTAAAGAACAGAAAGAGGAACATTTTTTGGCAAGAATCATGGAAGGTTTCTGAGACATCATTTGAGGTTTTAAACCATGTTGAAATGCGTGTTATTTCCATAGTCAAGGATGGAGAAAAGGTTCTGAGGAACGTATGAGTGTGAATCTCAATCAGAGAAAGGAGAGCAGGGGAAATTTTTAGTTAACCAGAAATTGGATAGATTTTGCCAAAGCAATGTGCATGAATGGAAGACAAAGGGGAAGACTGAGACTCCAATTTTGGAAATTGGTAAAGATTGAATAAAACACCCACAACTTTACAGACTTATGAGGACTGAGTGCTCTAGTACATGCAAAGGTGAAAGCTGAGTGTGCAAACCGAGACGCAGAGAAACGCACTTTCCTCTTACCTTCCCTTTGAGCTGACTGTGAACATACATAAGGATCATCCGTGGAATTTTGACTAACGTGATAATGAACGATCCCTTTGCCACAGTACCAAGGTGATAACGAATAAGGCGATTCACTGATGCCAAAATGGGAGTAAATGGCAAGTTCCTTTTGTCCCTATTTTTCAAATGACCAAAAATATAGTTTAAAAAAAAAGCTGAAACAAAGCTAGAAACACAGTATTCATTTAGAATCTAACAAAGAGACACATTAATCATCTTATGGAATTTTAAGACTAAAGTGAAAAGTAATGCACAACTAATATAACTGCTACCTACATCTGTCTCATAGAAAAGTAATACTGCATTTTTTTATGTTAGTTTCATGAGGTTCTTCTGCTCTAATACTTTATTTTAAATAAATCTGTATTTTGAAAGCTCTGCTTAGTGAATACTTATGGTGCTAAATGGACAATCAGAAAATGCAAAATATAATCTTCTTGTGTCATGACTTCCTGTTCTGATTTTTCTTTTTAAAAGATAGTTATAGAAAAGTAGAAAGAATAAAATGAGTAACTTTTCCTTTTTCTACCTGCTGGAATTACCAATATTTTGTGATATTCACTTCCAAGAAATGAAACCCTAGCAGTCTTGGTCCCATTTCCTTCCCCTCCAATCTCAGGACACGATCACATCAATGAATGTGAATTTGAGTTTTTCTGACCAGTACAAATTCTCACCTAGTGAAATAGTACGTTACCACGGCTCCTGCGACTGTCATCTGCTGACAAGCCAGAATGAACTCACTGATCCAAATCAGTCCCACTGCGTGGTACCACCACATGTACTGGAGAGGTCCGGACACTTTGAACTCCACAAAGCCTTGCTCATTCTGAACAGCACTGCCTACAACAAATCAAGGGAGGCGGGGGAAGAAGATGCACATAAAGTATAATAAACAAATACAGCTATCAAATAAAAGAAACCATTCTAATTTCAAAGAATAAACACCTCTCACCACCTACCAAACTTGATGATCACCAGTGTCTTTGGTAAAAATAGCTATCTTTTGAAAAACTTGCAAAATGAAACATTGTACAATAGGGCATTTTTATTTCCTCATAAGTATCATATAAGGCTTTTTCTTTTTTTTTTAATAGAAATTACTCTATTAGGACCTCTCTTGAGTACTGAAGAGAAACGACGTCAAGCTGGAGACTAAAGTGCACCTGATCCGGCTATAGTCTTCTCAATTGCATGCTATGCATGGGAGAGTTGGACAGTGATTCGGGATGACAGAAAGAGAATTGATGCCTTTGAGCTGTGATGCTGGAGAAGAGTGTTGAATATACCATGGACTGCTAGGAGAACAAACAGGTTTGTCCTGGAGAGGGTGAATCCAGACTGCTCCTTGGAGTCAAGGATTCTGAAGCTTCGTCTGACATACTTTGGGCATGTTGCAAGGAGGGACTGGTCCTTGGAGAGGGACATCATGTTTGGGAGAGTGGAGGGGCGGCGCAGGAGAGGAAGACCCTCGATGAGATGGATCGATTCTGTGACTGGGGTGGTGGGAGTAAGTGTGTCAGAGATGGTGAGGTTGGCACAGGATAGAGCAGGATTTAGGGCTACTGTACATAGGGTTGCTATGAGTCGCAAGTGACTCGACGGCATATAACAACAAAAAATATACTTTATTATCAGTTTTCAGTTTCGGTTTGGATTTTACTCCTCCCCACCACCACCCCTGCTGCCCCGCCAGGATACCCAATAGCACAGACTTAAGTCGTTAGCTAAGTACAGAACTGAGTACCATATTCAGTGGGTGAGTATGTACTGAATGGTCAAAGTCATGTTTACTACTTTAATGCTGCTCCTTACAATTCATTCCATTAGGCCTATCTTTTGCTACAGATTCTGGTTACAAGTGATTGTAGGAATCTAACTGAATGAGTTCATCAGTAGGAACTCTAGGATTTAATAATTTTTAACCTCGAAAAATACTAACGAAACTAGTTAATCTTTGGCTGAAACTGGGGTTTGAGGCCACTCCACAGTGGTGTCATAGAAATGAGTTCTTTTTTAGACTAGATTAAAATGTTCATGACTATATCAAAAATAGGATGGAATTTCAGGCCTTACCTTATCTAGACCCTCACTGGTACGAAGGCCTGAAAATCATGAGTTACTGAACAAGTTGTTGAAGACTGGTTACTACCAGAACAACTAGTCCTGATAGTTACTGAGTATTGGCCAACAAAATTTCTAAAGAATCATACCTCTCTGTTGTTGTTGTTATGTGCCATTGAGACACTTATGACTCACAAAGACCCTATGTACAAGAGTCCTAAACCCTGCTTCTATCCTGTGCCAACCTCACTGTCTCTGACACACCTACACCCATTGCCCCAATCACTGAATCAATCCATCTCATCGAGGGTCTTCCTCTCTTGAGCTGCCCCTCCACCCTCCCAAATATGATATCCCTCTCCAAGGATTGGTCCGTCCTTGCAACATACCCAAAGTATGTCAGATGAAGCTTCAGAATCCTTGCCTCCAAGGAGCAGCCCACTTTCGCCCTCTCCAAGACAAACCTGTTTGGTCTCCTAGCCGTCCATGATATATTCAACACTCTTCTCCAGCACCACAGCTCAAAGGCATCAATTCTCTTTCTGTCATACCTAGTCACTGTCCAGTTCTCCAATGCATAGCACACAATTGTGAAAACTATGGCATGGATCAGGCACACCTTAGTCTCCAGCTTGACATCACTGCTCTTCAGTACTCTCTCCAAAGTCTTAAAAACTTTTTAATGCAAAGCATATTTAACTAAGTAATATATTTTCTTACCAGTTGTGCCAAGAAAAAGAAGTGTCATGATCCAGTAAACCCAAAACAGGACAAGAGCAAAGAATGTCCAAAAGGGTTGGAAGACTAGAAGTGGCAAGTGAATGAAGACCTTGCCAGCCACGTGGAACAAGGCAATGGTGAGAGCAACCCGTTTGCGCATAACTAACATTATCAGGAACAGGATAACCTGCAAAGAGAGAACAAAAGGTGTGAGGTCCAGTGACAAATTAAGTGGTGAAAACAGAACTCAAACAATGGGAGCAATTTGGAATATAAATTTTGATTTTGAAATCTTGGAACCATCATCCTTCACTATCTTGATAAATCGTCAATCTGTTATTTCTCCAGTGCTTATCACTTTCAACTGCGTATTACGGGTACTGATTGTTCTTTCAAATGAAACATAAAAAGGAGTTCTCAATGTATTATTATATCCTGAAAGTCTTCTATTTTTCAATTCTCCATTCATTAGCAATCAAAACATGATATTTGTGATTAACATCCTATAGGGATAAAACTCAATTAATTCTAGTAGTTACATGCTTGCTACTCTGTGAAATAGGGGGATGGACCACACATTATCATAACAAAAGCACTGAAGACAATTATATGTGTCTCATGTCCCCCAGCAGACCAGAGCTCTTTAAGAGAAGAACTGGGGGGAGGGGCAAGGGGGGCAGGGAGAAAAGTGCAACAATGAACGAGTGGAAATCCAAAATCCCTGTAAATGTTCATTAACATGAATAAAGCTTTAAAAAAAAGAGTAGGGTTCATGCCAGGTTCACCCCTGGAATCCCCCAAAATCTGGCACAAGGAATTGTATTCAGAAAACGATTAATACATTTTTGCAGAGTAGTAACTAACACCCTTTCTCCCAGTTCATAGGGTTTCCGGAGGCAAGCTATTATGGAAGTGGATGCCACTCCTCCTTCCACGCTTGTTCAATTGGGGAGCTCCACCCCACTCTCAGTTCGCATTGGGTAGCCAACCATTAACGTATTTGACACATCCGTGTCACAGTGTTCAGCCTCACGGCAACCACAAGTGACTGCGGGATGGCAACTTGTACACCAGGGCTGTATGACCTAGAGGAATGTCTGAACAAAAACAATGAAAGACTGCGGCTCGAGGGCCCTTTTGGGTTTGAAGCCCTTCTGTCTTCAACCCAAGGCCGAGCGTGGCTTCCCTGGCTCCTGGGGCAGAGTCAACTTTCTCCAGAGACCGCCACAACACAACACAACTCCCACATACACAGCACCATCCTCTCTGGCCAAAGGATCACAGCCATAGGGTCGCTATGAGTTGCCTGCGACTCGATGGCACTTAACAACAACAACAATAACTAACAAATATTTTTTGCCTCAGTAGTCTTAAGTAGCTGGTTTTACTATTGTTTCTAATGCTCAATAAGCTTGAGAATGGTCCTAGAAATGGACTGTTGCTGTTTTTAAGTGTTGTCGAGTCATAGATGACTCATAGTGACCCTATGAATCAAAGACCTGAACACCTGTACAACTTTCATCGTTTCTCCAAGCTCATAGAGTTTTGGAGGCAAGCTATTTTGGAAGTGGGTGCCACTCCTGCTTCCAAGCTTGTTTTAATTGGGGAGCTCCACCAAATGCTGTCCACCACGGGTAACCATTAGTGCATCTGACACATCTGTGTCACAGTGTTTGGCATCAGAGCAACCATGAGATTATCTCTGTACAGCAAATGGATAGAGCAGACCTAGGATAAAGATAACCAAGATAACCAAGACAGAAATGTAGATTATGAGCCACAGGCTAATTACTAATTTTACTATATAGTGAGTGAGTGTGAACTTCATCTATAGATTTTAAAAAGAATTATATTGTTAAGTATAACAGTTTGAAGGGAAAATAAGCAATGAACAAGAAAGTGGCATATAAAATATCCTATCTCTTAATAGTTTTCTATAGAAAAGAGACCATTTCCTGTTTTAAAAAAGTGGTTCTATCACTTTATTTGGAGGTAGGAATGGCATCCACCTCCTAAACAGCATGCCTCTGGAAACTCTATGAACTTTGATAAATGATGATAGTTATAGAAAGGCTTCAGGCCTTTTGTTCATAGAGTCACTATGAGGTATGCTCGACTCAACGGCAATGAACAACAACAATCACCTTATACCAGTAAGAAATGCGCTTTCATTATCTAATAATAGACTGTAAGTGAATAGGTAAAAATTCTAGAGACTTTTTCTATAGAGAAAAACTCCTCAATTCTCAGGTAGAGTAGAACAAAGCATTGCATCTACAAGCACCTATCAATTGTTAGGTGCCCTCAAGTAGATTATGACTCATAACAACCTTATGCATGATGGATCTGAACAGTGCCCTATGCCATCCTCATCATCTATGATATTCTTGAGCCATTACTACGGTTACTATGTCACTCCGTCTTGTTGAGGGTCTTCCTCTCTTTCTCTGATCTTCCACCTTTCAAAGTATGATGTCACTTTCCAAGAAAGAGCCTCTTCTAGCAACATGCCTAAAGTACGTGAGACAAAACTTCATCCCCCAAGAGAATCTGCCCCCCAAGAGAACTCTGGTTTCACTTTTTTCAAGACATATCTGTTGTTGTTTCTGCAATTGATGGGATATTCAGTACTCTTCTCCAACTTCACTACTCAAAGACATAGATGCTTCCTCTGTAATCCTTAGTTATCATCCAACTTTTAAATGCATTGCAAGAATTTAGAAGATCACAGTAGAGGACGGGTGGCTAAAGGAAATGGGAACGATCTGGTGTGAAAAACAATGTATACAAACTTTGTAAATAAATCAGTATAAAATACAAAATTTAAAAAAATATATCATGATGATTGGATCAGGCTCACCCTTGTCTTTATACTTAAGTCATGAGCTCTGGTGGCCTAGTGGCAAGAAACTGCACTGCAGTCCCAGAGGTATGTGGTTTGTAATCACCAGATGCTCAGCTGGAGAAGAAAAGGCAATCTCCTCCTATACCAGTCAGATCTGATTTGATGGTACACACACAAAAAAAAATAAACTGAAGTCATTACTTTTCCGTATTCTGGAGAGGTCCTTGACATCAAGTTTTCCCAGTGCAACACTTCTTTTTATTTCTTAACTGTTGGAACTAAGAGTGTTGATTGTAGATCCAAGTTAGATAAAGTTTTGGCAATTTCAAATTCTTCTCCATCCAGCATGACACCACCTAGTGGTACAATGAGAGGATTTTTGCCTTCTTTATGTTGAGATGTGATCCATATTGAAGGCTGTAGCTTTTGATCTTTTGCAACAAATGTTTTACATGTTCCTCACTTTCAGCAAGCAAGGCTATGTCATCTGCCTAACGCCAGTAGTTGATAAATTCCACTAACCCTAATGCTAGGGTCTTCTTCATAAAACCCAGCTTCTCCAATTATCTGCTAATTACACATACTGAACAGGTATGAAGAAAGTACATAGCCTTGAAATACACCTTTCTTGATTTTAAACCATGCAGTATTCCCTTGTTCTATTCAGACAATAGCTTCTTGGTCTAGTTTTCCCATGAACACTGTGAAGTGTTCTGGGATTTCCACCTCTCTTAATGTTAGCCATAATTTGCTATGATCCACATAATCAACTCCTTTTCATAATCAATAAAACACAAATAGACATCCTTCTGGTATCCTGTTTTTAGCCAAAATCCATCTGACATCAATAATGATAACCCCGGTGCCACTGTTGTTGTTATCAAGTCACCTGTTACTCATAGCAACCCTATGTACAACATCCCTAAACACGGCTCTATCCTGTGCCAATCTTATTGTCTCTGATACACCTATACCCTTTACCTTAGTCACTGAATCAATCCATCTCATTGAGGGTCTTCTTCTTTGCACTGGTGTGACAGCCTCTTCTAAATCCAGCTTGAATTTCTGGTAGTTCTCTGTCAATGCACTGTTCTAGTAAATTTTTTCCAATCTCCAGCAACATTTTATGTGCATGCAATATTAGTGATATTGTTGGATAATTTCCACATTCTGTTGGATCATCTTTTTGGGAATGGGAACAAATATGGATCTCAACCAGTCAGTTGGCCTGGTAGTAGTTTTCTAAATTTCTTGGCACAGCCTAGTGAGCAAGTCTCGGGCTGTAGCTGTTTGTTAAACACATCAATCCGTTTTTCCATCAATTCCTGGGGCCATATTCTTTATTTGTCAATGACTCCAGGGCAGCCTGAACTTCTTTCCTCTATTATCATTGGTTCTTGATCCTGAGATGGTTCTGCCTGCACCTTCCTGCAGATGCATTAATGAGCCTGTACCAAATAGCGTTCTTCTATTAAAGAAGTCTTCTGAGGACATTTTAGTGCTTCAAACCCTGTGAGCCACAGCTTTTATTTTAGGAATGCAAATGTTAGAGGTGAGTTTTTGCTTCACTCATGTTGCTGCTGTTGTTAGGTGTCGTCAAGTCGGCTCCAGCTCACAGAACCCTACATGCACAGATGAAAGCCTGCAGCATCGGTATGCCCCATGAGTAAGCTCCTGTAAGCAAGATCCAAAAGTGGAAAGAGATACAGCCACGTGTACTCACAGTGAAGACTGTCGCTGAAATGGCATAGATAAGCAGGGCTCGAAGGTTGTCTTCCGCTATCTGGAGTTGCTCAGGGAGAACCATTTCTTTGGGAGATCGTCTTTGCTTAGCATACAACCACCACAGAACACCGGTGCCGCCTGGAAAGAAAAAAAAAAATAGTGCTAATTAACACGAGGAAATGTGTGAAACACACCTTCAATTTTCTGGACTCTTTCTACATATCTGTAGGGTCTCAGGAACGACAGGTTACGTGAAAAGGAGATGGACGGAAAGTATGTGAAAGCTTTTTCGCCAGCATATCAAGATCGTCAATTATCCTCTTATCTTCCACACTGGGTACCTACAAACCTTTCCAGGTACAAAATAAACTTCCTCCAAGTTTATTTATTATGGAGTCTGAAGCTGAGAAAGAACAACACAAACATACTCTTTCAAGACCTCTGAGAAGAACTGTTCACGGTGAGAGCCTCAGTACCTGTTTAAACTGGGGAAGCAAATAAGGGTCACAGAGAGTAGTAGGAATATGAGTTGAGGGTTAGCTGGGGCTAGTTCATACGACAGGGTCTAGCAGGTCTTTCCTTCATGGTTGAGAGATGAAGATTCAGAATAGAGGTGTGTGTGTAGGTGGATTAGACTAATGTCTGGGAAATAATACTCTAAGATGAGCCTACCACAACAACATAAACTCCATCTGCATTCAAGTACCGAGTGAATGGAGTCAGTGGGCAATTCCATATCTACTCTGTTAGCAAATACTGAGTATGGATTCTCTTTCTTTTGAAGATGAATAAACAAACTAAAACAAACCAGGAGGGTAAGAAAAACATTGCAGAGCAATGGGAATATTTCCAGCTTGAAATCTTGCCAGTATAAGACAACTATTTAGCAAAGGACTTAATATCCTTTCAAAATATATATATATATATATTCTCTCAAACAGGAAAAAATAGTCATGAAAGAAAGGCTGAAGTTCATGATAAATAAAAATAAAATTTAATGACAGCACTGAAAAGGATGTTGACAAGGGCCACAGTACATATTAAATAATAAGCATTTCAATTTGTGTCAGTGACTGTTACGCATATGATAAATGTAACTTGCTATGATTGTTGTTGTTGTGTATGGTCAAGTTGGAACCGACACATAGCTGACCCTTTGGTAGGTTTTCGAGACAGTTAATCATATGGGAGGAGAATGTCCACCTTTTTCCCACAGGGAAGCTAGTGGATTTGATCCATTTGCCTTCGGGATTGCAGCACAGCTTCTTGCCATTAAATTGCCTTACTACTATTCACTCACTCACTTATCGACAACAAGTCAAAACCAACTACTAGTAGACCCTCCGGTGGGTTTCCAGGGAGCTGTAAACAGCATAGGAGGGAACCACCCATCCCTCTCCTATGAGGTGTTGGTAGATTTGAACTGCTAGGGGGTGCTGCCTCTGGTGTAGCAGCACCACTCCCCACAGGCTGGGCCCCCACGGCCCCTTCAACACTCCTAAGTGGATATTATTAGTGAGGCTTTACAAATGATAAAGTTGAAATTTAGGAAGACTAAGTAAAATGCCAAAAGCCACAGACTTAGAAAAAATTTTTGAATTTGCATTCCTGTCAACAAAAACTAAAATTAAGAATTCAAGAATAGAGTTTTATAGGGAAATGATCAACAGTTTTCATTAAAACTAGTTATAGGAAAACAGATATAGGTATACATATATTTATAAAATTTGAAGACAAAAATAAAACTTTTAAAATGAAGATAAGAGTATGTGAATACCTTTAATCTAATAACTTTGCAACCAAGTACACATTATTTAACAAAGTCTTAATGAGGTCACGGCAGAGGGAATACAGAAAGAAAAGTGTAGGATAAATTAAACCTTTCATAATCAAGTCAGATTTTGCTCTAAATTTTCTGTTAAGTGGTAAGAAACTTCACTGAAATCCCAAAGGCATGTGGTTTGAATCTACCAGCTATTTCACAGGAGAAGGATGGGCATCTCTTCCCAAAGGCTTTACTGCCTCTGAAAACCCACTGGACAGTCAGCTATGGGGTGGTTCTGACTTGATGACACACAACAACAACAAAAAATGTATTTTCAGTAATGGAAGGCAACCGAAATAAAGGGAAAATACTTTTTAAGGGAATATATGAAACAATTATGTGAGGCACATATATCCCAAGTGAACTGTTGTCATTGGTGGCAAGAGGTCAGTTTCTTCAGATTCACACAGTTACACATGTTCCCACCAGATGGCAGCACATACTGTACCTGGGTGAGCAGCTCTCAACAAACCTGAGATGCTGAAAATGTTGGCTGGTTTTTTGTGTCCCAGGAGTCAAAAAGAATGTAAAGGAAGTCAGGGACTAGCAATATATACCAATACATTTTAGAATTTAATAATAGTGAATGCTAGGTTTTTAAAAAAGAACATGCTTTTTTTTAAAAAAAAAGTATTTTAACAATTGTAAAAGTAAAGATATACACTACATACCATCTAACCAGAGCAAAAATAATATAGTCAATATAGTGAAAATAGGAAAAAACAAAGTGAGACTATACGCATGCATATGTGTTTACGTGTGTGTGAGTAACATTAAAGTCTAAACCCTGTATCACAACAGTGAGGCAGTAAATGATGAAACCTTTTAAGCCAAGAGTAAACAAAAACATTTACAGAAAGTATATAACAAGTGAAAATAGCACTTAAAAAAATTCCTCTTTATATTTTTATTTTCTATCTAGAGCAGGTGACACATTTATAACTGGAAAGAAAAGTGAACCTACACACTTGCACACACACCCACACACCCTGAAGTTTTCATCACAAATGGAAAAGCAAAATACAATGTAAACAGAATTAAAAAAAAATTCAAGCACACAGTCACCCACCTCACAAATTATTACAGCAAAAACCATTTTAATTTTAAACCAGAAGGAAGAGCTACCTTGGAATGTCGACTCAGGCCATAAAAAGTGCAAGATAACAAGAAAGAGTTTCTTGACTTGCCCTTCAGGGATCACGGAAGAATCAAGATAAAAAAAGAGCAAGCAAGAAGCAGACCACAGCCTCAAATATTGTTTTTCCTCTAGGGCTGCTACCCCAGAACTGATATGAGAAAAACAAACTAGCTTCTTTGAGAAATATCTCTACTAATCTTAATCCCAAATTCCAGTAACCTCTTCATTTTATTTGAGTTAGTAATCTCTTAGTGATTTCAACGTAATCTACTTACCAGTCTTTTTTCTAGTTTAAAAGTTAATTTACAGGTCATATTAGAATAAAATTAGTTAAAATCATTCAGGAGTCCTGAATTGAAGGAATATTATAAGCAAACCTTAATCACCATTTTTAATTACTAAAAAAACCCAAAGAATTATGCCACTTACCAAGTGACCCCAGTATGACCAGAATTGTGACAATCCAGACAAGCACTCTTGATATGTACCTGATGATCACCATCAAAATCATTGACAGGACTGCAGGGGGAATACACAAAGAACACAAAGAGTGTTAATTGAACACATAGGAAAGCACAACCGAAAAAGTCTTACAACTGTTGTTTTTCCCTCAGGGAAATAATGTCTTGCTATTGGCTAGCTCATGACTATAATTTAAAACTGGATGCCTCCACATTTCAACTTTACTAATTGTGCCATTTGAAGAACATCACTCAAAACCGAAGACACCAAACTGTGCGGGTTTTTTCAATGACAGAAAAGAAAAAGCATGCAAATGCAGATGGTGACTCAAAAACAGCACAGGACTGTTGTGGATTCACCACGGAAGATGTCAGAACTCACATGCAAATGCACAAAATGTGTATCGTGACATGTCATGTTGGTGAAAAGAAAAATACTACAATCTGGAGAGAGATCAATTGAATTAGGTGCAACACCTCCTTGAGTCATCTATGAATTTCAGGAGTAACTTCTCTAGTGGCCAATCAACAAGTTAGATTGCATTTTTATCTTTTTCTGGTTGATTCTCCTCCAAAATGGGTCTGATACTATGGATTAATTAATACCAGAAAATTTACTAAGGCTGAGATTCCTTTGACCTTATTTCTCAACTGGGGTCCTAACTGAAAACTGCTTCCTTATAAAGAAGCAGATTTTAGCTTTAGCTGCTAAGCCAGCTAGTTCCTTTACTTGCTCCCTGCTAAATACCAATTTGTTGAGATATGCAGTGAAAAAATCACAGAGAAAAGGAAGGAGGGGGAGTAATGTGGAGAAGTTATCCTTTGCATGAAAGGATATTTCTGAAATCACAATTTACTCATCTTTAATTATCTGATGGCCTGTTTCACAAACAAATGGATAAAGAAGCCATTCTTTTGAGAAAAAAAGAAAACAATAGTGGCCTAATATCTAACACCATTATCACTACTTTGAAGGTTGGGAATTTTTTTTTATTACTATTACTATTTCAGAAACCAACTAATTTTTATATAAAGCTATATTAATCGTCCAATGTCTTTGGGCCATTTGCAAAGCCAAATACATGGTTGGGATCTGTGTCTAGATAACATTATATTAAGGTACTCACTTTTGCAATAAATGTACAGGAACCAAAAACAGATGGGAGCTTTTCAAATATCACAGAAATAGATTTTCATATGGACAGGATTATTTCAATTGAGTCAAGTACTACCTAAGCAAAAAGAAAATACTCTCTAATGACAGGAAAGATAGAAATACAGCTTGTATCTTCTCAATGACTGTAATTGCTATTAACAGGCATACATATGAATTTCACTTATATAATAATTGTTCCATAGTATAGTTGACTTCCCCCAAATAAGAAGGTCCATAAATTCTGGTATGACTATATACAGTGCCTGGACACTATTGGGAAGTTAGATCTTAAAAAGGAAATGCTATCTATTTGTCGATGAGAAAACGCCATGACTAATAAGTATATAGTTACTAATTTCGCAGCAAAATAGTGATGCTATGAATTTTTCAATGACAAACAAAAGGGAGAGGGAAGCACATCCTTCAAAATTAATCTGTCTGACACCTATGTTCTTAAAAGGGAGTATATATTACATATATATTTACACATAATTATGTGGCCTCTTTTGTAAGCAAGTATAATTTTTGGAATAATAACTAAAAGGGGACAGCCGCTGATTCATAAAAAGCAGCCTCTTGTTTTCACATGAAAGGTACTCATAGCTAGATATCATAGTTAAAGTTTGGAAAACCACCCAGTTTTCTCCAAAGAGAGAAAGAAAATGTGTTTCAGATAGATAAATATATATATATATATATATTTACATATACACATATTTATAACTTTCTATAATCTGAAACCATTCTTTTACTTTGGGAAGACAAACATTTTACAAGTATCCCCAGCTGTATTCATATTTTGGCTAAAAGAACAGTTGTTGACTGCAGTACTATGTAACAGCTAATAATGAGAAAAACAATTACCTAGTGATAACAAGCAAAGTCCCAATATAATTTCTTTGCTGGTCATTACTCCACTAATCAGCCTGTGTAAGACACTATTGTCACTGACAAAGGTGATCAGGGCCTCTGCAAACTTGGCATAGCAGGAAATGTTCACAGGAGCACAGCGATGGAAGAATGGAATAGGTGCACTGGTGACACAAGAAAAAAAAAATCAGAAAAAAAATTACTCCTACGTAATATAAATGCCACATCAAACACACAAATGGAAGGTGGATAATGGTTGCAATACACTCCACCCTCCACACGTCACTATGGGCACTAAGAGCTGTGAGGCGCTAGATGCTATGAGGATGACCGTAATGGGCAGGGATGCAGATCTTCCCACAAGCCTTACCATGAGGGTGGAGTGCACACGTCCCAACAGAAGACATTACCCTCCCCGTCTGAAAAGAGACACACACACACACACACACACACACACACACACACACACATAACCACCAAAAGCAAAACCAGACACTTAAACTCTGTGGCCTATACATCTATCAGTCAAGGGGTGATGACAAGATTTACAAACATATACTTAATTCAACTGAAAATAAATTTTGCCATAAGCGATTTGAAAATTAAAAAAAAATAAACAAACACAACAAAAAACAACCAAAACAAAACCAACATGCTTTTACTTAATGTGTCACCATTAGTAGAGTATTTCCTTTATCAGAACAGCCCATAAAGCCTTAGAATAAACGTTTTTAGGGTATGAACTTAATACTCTGCATATAAATTAGTCATGCCGAGACATCAACATAGAGCATTTATATGAAGCTATTTAAGAACAATAACAGAAATACTACATAACAATACAAAAACATTTATGGCATAATAGTATAGGAAATAAAATTTGTACCTAATATGATGATTGTACCTCCACACAAAAGATGTATACATATGAATTAAACAGAAAAAGAATAAAAAAATGTGAAAAATTTCTGATTTGCTATTGACAAGGGTTTCTGAACTATTTCTTCTTCATATATACTATTATTACTATGAGATTCTCATTCTCAAAAACTCATTGATGGCACAATGTATGGGAAAAACACAATGTGAATGAAGGAAGGTATGAAACATAATGTGTTAAGAATTGTGTATGCAAACCAAGATAAAATTTATAAAAAGATTTAAAAAACCCTAAAACCCAAAAAATTGACTGATGTTGAGTTAGAACGGTCACACAGCTGAACTGAGCTGTTAACTGAGCCTCTGTTGGGTCTCCAAGGTTGGAAAACCACATGGGAGGAGACTACCCGTGTTTCTGCCAAGAAGGTCCTGGTGGATTTGACCAGAGGCTCAGACTTTGAGTTAGCAGTGCAACTCTTGATGGTCTACATCAGCAGAGCTCACTCCTATGAGATTATTTGTGTTAAAAAAAGAAAATAATAAACTACTTAATTGGCCCTCTCGGACTTTTAGGCACTAAACCTTTTACTTGTGCTGGGACACATGGTACCTGAACTTTGACATAAATCAAGTTTGTTATAATGGTTGTATTACAATTTTTCAGAGGATGCTATTGTTGATTGCCATCGAGCTGAGTATGACTCAGTATCCCTATGAAAAAAAGGCCTGAAGCCTTTTAAATTTGTTGTTGTTGTGTATCGTCTAGTCAGAACTAAGGTGTAAGTAACCCTCCAGCAGGTTTTCAGAGGCAGTTAATTGCGTGAGAGGAGCTTGCCCATCCTTCTCCCATGGAGCAGTTGATAGTCTCGAAGTGCATGCCTTCGGGACCTTGAACTGCACACCTTCAGTTGTCAGTAGGCCACCAGAGCTCCCTGAAGCCTTTCTATAACTATAGCCATTTATCAAAGTTCATAGATTTTTCCAGATGAATGTTGTTTAGGAGGTGGATGTCACTCCTGCTTCCAATTTCAGAGGACAGCGTGCATCTTATCAATGAGAAATTTGTAAACAGAATTGTGAGTACTCCTTCAGTGTTCTAAGCAAGCTTGGGTTGTACCCAGGCAGGAAGAACACAGGTGAGTGCTGTGTTAAAATTTAGCCATGACTAACAAGAATCCTAAATTTTTTTGCGTGCTTGTCAATTATGGTGCTAAAAGAAGATTTTTCCGCTATGAAATACCTGTCTTCTGATTATTGGTTGCAAATGTATTTTGATTATTGGGAATATATTGACATGGTAGGGCATCAAATTCCAACTTCTCGGCAGTTGGCAAACCCATTCTGTATGCTCTGAAGCAAAACACTATCTTTGTTTCCTTCCATGAAAATTAATATTTTTTTTTCCAACTAAGAATAGTTTTTTTCCTTGAAAGCTAGCAAATGAGAATCCCTGGGATTAATAACAAGCAGTACCTCTCAGGCTGCCATCCTTAGTAGAGCAGTAAAGTAATGTCATTTTAACAGATCTAGTGAAATACATTTGAAAGTGACAATGCAGCAATCTGGTATCAATATGCATTTAAAAGATTTGTGTGAGCAATGATTTTGAAAATCACAATCAAACCTGGGAAGGACAGGAGAGCTTTATGCTAAGTGAATTAACTCAGTTCCATAAGGACAAATACTATATAAGGCCATTATTGTAGAAATAGAAAGATAACTAGTAAAATGTATTTGAAGGTTCAAGGGGGAGGGGATAGGAGCAGAGAGGTGATGATGGGCAGGGGGTCACATTATCTGATGGGAGGAGGAGGGGTGGATAAAGGAAATGGGAAACATCTGGTGTGGAAAAAAAAATAAACCAACAGAAAAGAAACATTTTATTGTGTTAAGATTTGTTTTTGTATGTACCTGAATAAATATTTATGCACAGCTCTCCAAAATAGTGTTACTGAAAGTTAATGGCATCCGATTTGATATTTTACCAGGAATTGAAGAAATTCAGAGCATTTTGAACACTGTATGAATTACAGGCAAATTAAAAATAAATTGCAGGATATTTGCTATTATTTAGAAATATTACAATATTTTAAAAAATTTTTGAATTTTATTATTTTTTGTGTGTATACCATCAAATTGGATCTGACTGGTACAGGAGGAGATTGTCCCTCCTTCTCCTGCAGAGCATCTGGTGGATTCGAACCGGATACCTCTGTGATTGCAGTGCGGCTTCTTGTCACCAGAGCTCCCTTGAAATATTACAGTATTTCTAAGGGAATAATTTAAAACTGATATTGAGTTCCTAACTCAGTAGAGACTGATTTGGGACAGAAACCTTAATGTTGACAATTTTGGTCCATCCTATAAAATGTTTCTCTTCTGACGCTATCTCTGTTCTCTCCCTGCCAGAAGTCCCTGCCTAAGAACTCTTCTAATCCTACTTCTATCTATAACCCTCGTTTTCTTTCCTTCTGAACTAATGTCCTTTCTGGTGCACAACTAACTGTACCTTCATTCTCTTTATTTATTATCCTACCCTCTCAGATATGGCCTCTTTTTAACTCTTTTGACTTCAACTTTGAATCTAAAGTATAGCTATCCTAAACATCAAATGAACCTGTAGACACGGAGTCAAAACTCTCTTTACAGCTGACCCTCCAGTGGATTGCAGAGGCTGTGAACAGCATAGCAGGAGACTGCTCATTCTTCTACTGCAGAGCAGCTGGCGGATTTGAACAGAGAGGTGCAGTCTTGGGGTTAGCACTGTAGATTCCTACTGACTATGCCACAGAGAAAGGACATTGGTATTTTATTCTTGTTTTCTTGGCTCTGTTTTTTTCCCATTTGTATCTCCTTTTTCCTGTCTGCTAAGGTGAACTTTATCCTGGACCGGAGAAGGCAACACCACATCTCCTATATCCTAGTAGGAAGCTGTATTTTTATACTCAAGGAAAAATATGTCCACATTTCCAAAAGAGAGTGGAGCCTGTGACAATGGAAAGAGGAGTGAGAGTGGGGTAAAAAAGACCCAGGTGACTATATAGTTGCATGTCACACCGTGGCTATATCTCAGTTTCTCTCTTACCTAAAAGGTAGAAGTAAAATTAATCTGTAACTTTCTTTCCATGTTAGAAATAAAAAAAGGGCTCACATGTAAAACAACAATTTTAAATGAACCATACAGAAGTAGCATAACAGTATCATTTAGTGTTTTTCTACTTTTTAAATAAAATTCATTTTAATTATAATTTTAATATAAGTTTACAGAAAAGTTAGATTTTCATTCATTCATTGATGAACATTTTACTCCCTCCCCTTCCCTCAGTTCACTTTTTTTGGTGTTTTTTTTAAGCATTCATTATTGCACAATTACCTCCCTCCCCCTCAGTCCTCTTTGCAATGTACCTCTTATTCTAGGCTATTGCTGTACATATAATGCCTAATCATATATTCCTCCTAAATAATTCTTTCCTTCATCTATTCCAGTACAATGTTCATTTATCTATCCACTCATATCCTATTCTCCCAAGCCCTCACATTAGACCTCCTTTATAACAGTGGTGTTATGCAGTATTTGTCCTTTTTGACTGAGGACTTTATGTGTTATCCTACTTTTTAAACTTACAATGAAGACAGGTGATGTGAATGGAAGGAGTGTATTCTCAAAAGTCTAATCTTTCATAGATACATATTTTTAGGACAAAATTCTAGTAATAGCTGCTATAAATTTACCCTTCCAAGTCATTTTTATACTATAAGTGAACATTTGGCAGATCAGAAAGATTATTTTGAGAAGTACCCTTCAAAGAATTAGAGCAAAAGAATAATCTCTTTCCCTGTAATTCAATCTACACCATTTAAAAACCTGCCATCTCTAGACTAGAAGGTCTAAAAATGAACACAAGCTGATTAACTATGTAGTCAAGCTGATGGTTAAAACCTGTTCTTAATGAATAACAAATAGCAGGCAAACAAAACAGGAGATTTTTTTTAAAAAATAAAAAAAATTGGTTTTAAAATTTTAAAACACTAAATTTCCTTATCTGCCATTTCTTTTCTCATTAACACTTCACCAAACAAAAACAACTCAATCAACCACAAATTTTTTATACTGGAATTATTTTCTTATTTGAAAAATATAAGTAATCATGTACTCAAATGGTCTATTTTATATTTTATCTTTTAAAACCCATGTGATCAGATGAGTTTTAAATGAGATGAATTCACTGATTTCATATTCCTCCACCAAAAAAAAAAATGATACTTTTTGGAACTTACTGGATGAGATCATTTCTACTTTTGTGTGACCTAAATGAACACATTCTGTGCTTTTTAATTAAGGGGGAAAGTATAAAGACTGTTTTTAATGGCATAATTTTTTTATTGCTTGAAGCTTATGGAATATTGAATCTTTGCAAAGTCAATGCAGTCCCATTAGAAGCCTGACACTCTCTCACATTATTGAAACATTAGTCAACAAAACCAAAATGAATTTATAATGAGTCTTTTAAAGATTTTTTTAAAATCAGCTGTTCAATAGAAAATCGTATCTTACCTTGGCAAGCATACTGTCCATTACCTTTAAGTCCAGATTATCCCAGTTAATGAGTTCCCTAAAGTGAGCTATCTATTATCTCTTGTCCATATGTTTTCACGCAAGAAGGTAGAGGTTTCCATCTCACGTAAGTATGCTAAAACTTCAGGTTATATATAAGTAAATACAAATTAT